ACATGGCCACTCAGTTTGGGATTCTGGCCCGCCTCACCTGGTGGGAGTATTCTTGGGACATTATGGAACCAGTCACCTATTTCATCACCTATGGCAGTGCCATGGCGATGTATGCTTATTTCGTAATGACTCGCCAGGTAGGGCTTGTTGTGCTGATGTTGACGCTTCAGTAGAAGACTTTCTTTGAGCTCTACTCCCTAGAAAAACAGCAAAACCGTGCCTGTTAGAAGTAGCAGCTTTGCTCCTTCCTTATCCTGTTGGAACCTAGATGCCACTTGGTTTAATTTGTGCTGACCAGGATGGTGGTGTATGGTTGTGGGATTTTCTTGTGGTGGTCATTGCTGATTTCCTGGTTGTCTTCCATAAAAGCTTATATATGTTCAATGATTGACTGCTTTAGGTATACAGGTTCATCTACTGACAGGTAACTGTTTCTGCAGGCACACACATGCAGCCTTATGTTGACTTGCACCAGAGGCCTGCAAGTGCTGTCATTTATCAGCCCAAATGAACTACGGGTGCATGAGGTACTTTCTGAGTTTCAAGGAAGCCCACCTGTCTGACATGAGATACTGGCCTTTTTAAAGAGACAAACATTTGGGGATCTTGTTGGAAATGCTTTTAGTTAGGTGTTTCACAGATCTGGCTTCCCATCCAGATGAAGGATCATTCTCTGGATCCCTGTAGTTGTGACAAACTCTGTATGACTTTTCTAGTACATCACTCCCGTTTAAACTTCATAATCCCACCTAAATAACAAGGGAGGGAGGGAGGGAGGGCTCAAAGAGTCTCTACTGTCACAAGACCATCAGAAGAGAAGCTACAGGTGTTCCAGTGTGGTGTCCCAGGGGCCTGTCAGCTGCATCATTTCAGGGGCTGAGGCCTCGCATGCCCCTGTCAGGGCTGCTGCAGTAGCTTCTGCCAAGTATGGTTGGAACTTCTGCCATGTGTGAGCTCAGATTTGATGTTTCAGTTGTCATCTGTATCAGCTAGTACCTCTTGTGCCAGACCTTAAAAATCTCAGTGTTTCAAGGATGGCATGACTCTGAATGCGGCTTTTCTTCTGCCAGCCCTGGTCATTGGATACACACCAGACACAGGCTGTGTGATGTTCCAGTGCAAGGGAGAGTTAACTTCAGCAGGCAGGCCTGTGCTTTGTAGAGGCTGTGTGGGATTTGGTGTGAACAGCTCTGCTGTTCTGAGTTATCTGCATGCACTAAAAAGCTGTGACTTTTTGTGGTAGAGTATCACTGGCAAAAGCTGTGGTATTAGCTTCTTGTTCTCACTTGCATAGCTTGGTTGAGAGATGAATTCATGAGCTACAGTTGCTTTAATTAGCCACTGAATGTTTATGACCTTAAGAGAGTAAGGGCTATCTTACCAAGGCTTTCTTCTGGTATTTATAGCTTTTTTTCTCCCTTTCTCCCCACAAACTTGTCAGTATTGGAACCCTGAAATGTGTTAGTTTTTGTTCTCTCTGCAAGGAAGGATTCACACATTTAGGACAGGAGGGAGGTGATGGTAACTCACTGCTAGAGTGTCACATACTAGTAGAGAAGCAAATGCCTGACTGTACTGAGTCTGGCTGGGATGGAGTTAATGTTCTTCAAAGCAGCTGGTGTGGTGCTGTGTTTTGGATTTGTGACCAAAACAGTCTCAATAACACACCAATGTTTTTGCTGTTGCTGAACAGTGCTTGCACAGCATCAAGGCCTTCTCCGTTTCTTGTTCCTCCCTGACCTGCCTCCTTCCACCCCCGGGAACAGGCTGGTGATCGGTGAGACATTGTGAGGGGACACAGCTGGGACAGCTGACCTGAACTGACCAAAATGCTATTCTGTACCATATAACATCATGTTCAGCAATGAACTGCGGGGGAGTTTGTCCAAAGTAGCTGTCCCACGGAGACTGGCTGGGCATTGGTTTGCTGGTGGGAGGTGGTGAGTGGTTGCTTTTGCATCACTCTTGTGGTGGTTGTTTTTTTTTTTCTCTTCACTTATTAAACTGTCTTTATCTCCACTCCTAAGTTTTTCTTGGTTTTTGCCCTTTTGATTCTCTTCCCCCATCCAGCTGTGGGGGAGTGATTGACTGACTGGATGGGGGCTTAGCTGCTGGCTGGGGTCACCCCACCACAGTGCGTGAGCTTAGACAATGCTGTCTGGTCTTGTGCCTTCACTGGCAGAAACTAGTCATCCTCCCAAAAGACACCTGATACATAGCATCCTGTGTTGCATCCTATTGTGGCTTTATTCCGATCTTCTCTCCTTTTTTCTTTTTAGGAATATGTTTATCCAGATGCCAGAGACAGACAGTACTTATTATTTTTCCATAAAGGAGCCAAAAAGACACGATTTGATCTAGAGAAATACAATCAACTCAAGGATGCAATTGCTCAGGTAGCAAGATTTTTTTTCAGAAATAAGGTCAAGAAATTACTGCTTGCTATTTCTTAGCTGCTATTAATAGATGCACTTCAAACAAGAATGGCTATATCTTAAGTTTTCAGCCTATTTCCTTGTCACAGCCCCAGTGCAATCACTGAATTGGCTTTGGTATGCCCAGGAATAGAACTGTTGGATGTGTAAATCAACATGAAACGATTGCCTGTATCTATCTGTAAGGGCCTTTTAGAAACTGCTGGCAAATCTGAGTTGCTTCAGGCACTTCATGCCTCGGAGGAGCCTAATTCAAGATTTCCTTTCTTCTCAGCTCCTACACACCAGATGGATTTAGTGAGGCATGAAGACTTGCATCCATTCAGTTTGTGTCTTCCTGACATAGCACTTCAGTGCACTGGGTTGCAGTCCTGGAAAGTAGTGTTCAAAAAATTTAGCTGTATTGTTAGAGGCAATGGGGGGCAGATTTCTCATGTTCTGGAGACAGACGCTTTTGGCAGACTGTCCACATCGTGGGATCTGCTCAACAAAGGAGTTGGGTAGAGATCTTTGCTCATGTTTCTGAGAGCCTTTCTGCAGAAGGATGGCATGAGCAGAAAAAGCAGAGCTACCGCATTCTTCTTCACTGCTCCATATCATTCTCTATTTATTCCCAGGCTCTGGAAATGACAGTCTAGGATATCCAAGGCAAGATGTATTCTCGCCACGCTGTGTTGAATATGGATGCCCTTGAGTGGCTGTATTTTTGTGGAGCTTTTTTCTAGAATCAACCATTCCCATTAATCTAGTTGGGGTGGTTTTATTTTATTAAAAAAAACAAAACAAAACAAAAAACCCACAAACAAACAAACAAAAAACCCCAACCAAACAAACAAAAAACCAAAACAAAATAAAAACAAAACAAAAAAACGGTTCCAGTGAGTTTGTGGGGATCAGATCTTCCCTACCATATTCCTTTTAAGTGGCTGCATGTAGACAAGTTTAGACAGGTACAGAGCAAAAGTGCTGAGAATGGTTTTCCCAAATATGAGCCTGTGAACTTGTTTCACTTTTGAACACTTCCCTTCTGGACAGAAAAAAACAAGGAAATATGGAAAAGCTTTCTGTTCTGTAAAGGGGAATGGTATTGAGGAGGGTGTATTGGGAGCTTATTCTTTATAATGTGTCTTTTACTTTTAGGCAGAATTGGACCTTAAGAGGCTTCGAGACCCGTTGCAGGTTCACCTGCCCATCCAGCAAATTGATGAAAAGGACTGATCAGCAAAGAAGCTCTGAACCCCGGCAAAAAACCTGTTCATAGCTCTTGCCTTTTTAATTAAAGCATTGCAGGTGGAAGCTGGGAGGTGGTGTGGGGGTGGAGGGTTTTTACCTTTAATCAAGACAAAGGACTGTAGGGGGGGAAATCTCTTAAATATGAAGATGGGTCGTGGTGGAATGTTAGTTCTGAAAAGGGCTTGGCAAATAGTCACATTTAAAAACTTGTCTGAATGTCAGTTGTGTACAAATACAAGATCGGGGAGGTTCATGAAAAGAATGTAATGCTGGGGTGTAGGGATGTCTTCTTCCAACTTTGCAGGGTCTGCCTCTTGATAAGACACCAGCAGCCTGCTTAGCTTTTTAAATTTTCCTTTACCTGATTCAGATCTCTCTTTCTCTCTCAATAAAAAAAGGAGGAAAAAAAAAAAAAAGAACAGAGAATCCAAGCCACCTGGAGCTATGGCTGGTGATCAGAACTTGTACTCCACCGCCATTAACACGCACACTTCTGATCAGACCTGGTCTCTTTTATAAAGTTACTACAAGACTGCTTTCTACTGGAAAACCGTGAGCTTCCCCTTCCCAGCCCACCCCATGTGCTCCACTGATTTCCTCCTTTGCTTATTTGTAGCACAGATTGGTTGTAGCCAAGTGAGAGAAGGAGGGCGTTTTCTTCTGGACATTTGATAATTGATGTTTTGGATTATTCCATAATAACTATATAAACTTTGCGTCCCAATGCCCTTGAGCTCCTTCTAGAAATCAATGGCAGCATTGCATGAGAGGTTTTTTTATATTCAGTCTTAAGTGAGGGAGATTCCCCTCTTCCAACCCCAAATCTGATAGCCACCTGGACTATGAAATTATGAAGGCTTAAAGGATTATGAAACAATCACAGAATCATGACTCCTGCTTTTAAATGAATAGTTTCAGAACAAGGAGTAATTAAATTTGATATTTGACTGCTTGTGTAATGAGATAAAAGGTCTCATATATGGTCAAAGCATTTTTCCTTGCCCAGAGGCCTTTTGGAAGCCTGGGGCTCATACAGTGCAAGACACAGAACTACTTCAGTTCTCTAGCACTTTCCTCTAATTAAGTAGCTTTAAATGAACTTTGCATCCTAAGGTCAGAATTTCTTAGGAGTGGCTAATGACATCTTGTTCTTAGCTAAAAGAAATAGAGGAAGGAAAGTCAACCCATTGCCCTCTCTTCTAGTTAAGGCTGGCTGATTTCTAAGCAGATAAACTGTCTCTTCATTCAAAGCAGGTCAGTCTGTTTTAGCATCCTGCTGATAAATACTGTGGAAACAGGATGAAGGTGGGAGAAAGGCACTAAACTTTATACACAGAAAGGCTGGCTGCTTTTTTTGATGTTTCACTACTACTCCTCACTGTGTCATGGAAAGAGGCTTCTGTGTTTTTGGAGAACCATGTTTTAAGAAAAATAGGAAAGAAAAAAACAAATCGGTATTAACTAGACGCCAGGTGCCTTGCAGATGTGGAAACACAGCTGGGATTGCTGCCTCTTCTCACTCAATGGCATGTTGGACTGAATGGGTGCATGTTCCTAGTTTGGTCTTTTTTTTTTCCCCCCTTCCCCTTTTCCTCTGTCTTTCAATTTAATTACATTGTGTGATTATTTTTTATCTGTTTTATCCTGTTTGTGTGGTGAGTTTTAAAGGGAAAAAAATGAACACGATCCTGTAGCTGAATCCTTGGTGTGTGTTTGGGATGAGGGAGGGAGCATGGAGAAAAGTTCTTTTAAAAAACAAACAAACAAACAAAAAACCACAACAAACTGAACATGTGTAAAATCCTGTATCATTTATGAAATATGTATAAAAGAGCAATGTACTTCTGGAACAATAAATAACTATTCAATTTTTGAATCAGTGCTCTTGAACAACATTATTTTCCTCAGCTGAGGAGGGAATATTCTATGTATGGCAGCTGTCCCCTGAGTTTGCTCCATTTCTTTTTGTTTAGGTTGTTTCTTCTTGACCTTACATCACTGAGGCCGTGGTGATGCAGATAATAGCTTTCCTGAAGAAGCTTGGATGGAGAACTTGCTGCCATGCCTAGCTGCGTCACATGGGGATATCAGGAGCAGTTGAGGTGGTGAGGTAGAGACATTTGGTCTAACAAAGATCTGCCTTTGTTTGGCCAGCATAATAGCTCCATGTGGAGGCTGACAAAATCTGGAGACGTGTGGCAGGTTGCAGGATGGGAGTATATATTGGTGTGTAATGTCCAGCAACCTAAAATGTAGCAAGTGGTGTCAGTGTATTTCTATGTTGCATTCAAGTGCTGTTTCAGAGGAAAGCCGAAGTTTTAAGCTTCTGTTACTTTCTTTCTGGGCCCTGAAATGGCTGTAGTCTGATTTGTTGTGGTGGCGTATCATTTGTTCATTAACTTTGGAAATCAGCAGACTGTAATTTGTCCGAACTTTATGGGATGTTAGGATGAGACATTTGGTGCCAGAAGGCTTTTATCATGTCAATCGACTGTTTAAAAAAAAAAAAAAATAAATTAAAAAGAATCCATGATTGGCCAGTTTTTAAAACCGCTGATTCTCTTCTGTTTTTCTAAAGTTGAAAGGGAGGGGCTGGAAGCTGTTAGTCTGTGACCTACCTTTAATCACTGTTGAAATTTAGTTCAGCAATTCTGACAAACACTCTTCCTCCAAGCAGCCCTTAGTCTACTACTGAGTATAGATCAGCTGCTGCCCTCCCTAGACAAAATTATTGGATCAGTTGCATAAGAAGTTGTCTATTTTGGCATCCAGAAGACCTGAAGACTTTGACATCTAGCACCACAATTTTGTAAGCAAGAAAATGCTGTGACAAAATTGTTCCTGCACATATTTTCATGTTGTTCATGTCATGATGTGGGAACAAGAGTGAAATAAAAGTCTACAATTGTATCCCAAAATGTGGGCTGTCCGGTGGGTCTTGTTAGTCTTGCTCCTCTCTACCACCAGTGCACACGTGGTCTCTGCTGGGGGTGGATGACATGCCACAAACCTCAAACTCAGATCCCAGTGCTTCTGCTTTTGTTGCCCTTGAATACTAACATTAAAGGGAAGGGTGATGTTTGTTTGCTCTCCTGGTATACACTTTTTGTATACTGACATCAACAAACTCTCTTGCAGTAGCTGTTTTCATGCCTAGAAAGCCAGCCAGGGTCCTGTCCCACTGGCAGCACTTTGGGAGCAGGCAGTGCTGCTGAATCTTGATGTAATACTGCGTTATTCAGACCTTCAGAAGCATAAGCAAGAGTGTGCTTTGCAGTATTCAGGTGCTGCTTTTTCTACTACTTTTGTTACTCGCTTGGTTAACCTCTCTTCCCTCTTTTTCTGTGAGGGAGCCTTCAAATAAATACATATCAATTCCAAATTTTCTGGAGAAATCATTAGGTTCCCTTTTTGCCATGCCTGTGAGCCTCTAACTTGCAAGCCTTTACAGGGGAGGTGTTCATGGCTCTGTTTTCCTCAAAAGCAAATGAGAAACCCTTTTTCTTTTCCCCTGTAACCCTTCCTACCTGGCAGGCAGTGATGATGATCACCTTGCTGCAAGTTCTTACACTTCTGTGTTGGCTCTAAGAGGATTTGTGTGATGTTCTGAAGCTGCTGGTGGCTGTCAGACCTTAGTGCTGTGTCAGTTGAGTGAAGCTGGCCAAGTTGCCCTGTCTTCCTGAGCCAGTGAAACAATTTCTTTGATCTCGTCTGTCGTTTTTGTGTGGCGTTGTAAACACAAACTGGTTTCCCCTGTGCCACGTTGTATGACTTTATTTTCCCATAGGAAGGAGATTTTTGTATCTTAAGTATTTTTCTACTTGTCCCGAGAGATTCTGATTATTCCCTTTTTAAAAAAAAAAATCAGTTTTATTTCTATACTGACATTAAAGGGGTGAAAAGTAAAATAGGGAAATAGAAATCAAGCTTGCAGGGTATCTAAGCCCTGAAGTATGGGAGAAGCTGGTCTTATACTGTGTCATTGTGGCTCTGTGAACTTGTAAAAGATGGGTCCTACTCCTGTTTCTGCCCCTGACTAGTTTTGCAATTGTGGGTATGCATCTAGAAACTGAGGATCATGGAAAATACACTGGGTTATGTAGGACCTGTGGAAAAACACTCAAAACACGAAGCTTTGCATCACAGAACTCCACTAAGGGAAAGGAAATAACTGCTACTCTTCACTAGGAGTTAAGTGCTTGTCTGATTTTAAAGGGGTCTTGATGTTTTATTTTTTCTTGTGTTCAGTTTGCTCAAACTTCACCAAAATCATGTTCACTCCCTAACCTCAACAGCCCATCCCATTGGCACCATGTCCTGGGACAAGTTGTTTACAGCAACAAAGTCTATCTCTAAGTCCTTGACATTTGTGCAATCCATCTCAGCAGCCTGTCAAGGCTTATTGTGAACATACATCCTCAAATCAATCGCAGACAGGGATCCTGTTGTGTGTGTCAGGTTCTTCTTTCTCTCAGCGGCAGGAAGTGCTGATTAGCTCTTCCGCCTGCTCCTCCTAGGCAGGCTGCAGGAGTTACTCCTGCACCAAGAGCTGTTCTTCACACCACCTCACTTTCATCAACATTGGTGTGTCTTGAGAGGTGTCTCTGACAAAGCCCAGACCAGCTTCAGCATTCAACACCAAAGCATTTTCACTCATTAGTCCACTACAAACAGTATAGGGCTTTCCAGCCTATCCAAGGCTTTGAAGCATTTGAGTTCCTTGTGTAAGGATGGTAAAGCCCTCCAGATCTCGGAGAGGGGCAAGAAGTGTGGATATCACCTGCAAAATTAGCATCCTTTCTTGCATTAAGAATAGACATACCCAGGCTTAGACAGTAGCAGGTTTAGAAGATCCTGTCACTTGATACCAAAGTAAAATTCCACCCCTCTATTTTAATATTGCCTTCCCTCTTCATATCTTTCAACCCATACTGATGACTACTTTTAAGAAATACTAACTTGATCCTGATTCTTCTTGCTTTTTAGGGAGTCGGGCTCGCTCATCTTTGGGGTGTGAAAGTGAAGGTCAGGAACAACAGATTTGCCAGACCCGCCTAAAGAGTGCAGGCCCTACAGCATCTACAGGCCCTACAGTACTCCACTGTAATTGTATCTTCTCTGCCAGACAGTCTGTTTGCAGGAGGGGTTTTTTCCCCCCTTCCCCTCTCAGGAATAATTGCTCCAGCTCCCTGAGGCATAGATTTGCAGTGGCCTAATCTAATACAGACTACTGTGGTTTGTGGGGAAATGTCACCCAAAATAGCTTGCAAAATAAAGAGAAAGTTCTGATAGAAGAGTTGCCTCTGCTGGTTCTTCATCTGGAATAGTGGTCTTTGTCTTGCCTGTGGATCTCAAAAATGTTTAGAGGTGGCACACTGAATCTTCTCCAGCTTTAGACTGTTCCCTTGAACTAGATGTTATGGTGATTTGGGATAGTGTCATCTCTGGGAATGTAGGGGCATTTCCTGCTTTAATCCATTTTGGAGAACTTGATAGGGCCTGTTTGTGACACCTTTGAGGCTCAAAACTGCTGTGATGCAGTTCATTTCCCTATGTTAATTAGCAGTTGTCAGTCATTTACATATAACTGACAAAACATTACTAGTGTCAGGCCTAATATACCACCTACAAAAATAAAAGTAGCTGGTAATGAAATGATTCAGAGAAATATATGTGCTCTAACACAAATAGAAAGTTCAATTCAAGCTTGTCAGTTTTATTTACCCAGGATATTAAGTACGAATCAACTTCTCAATGAAAATGGCAAAATATAACTTCCTGCAGCTTGCTGTATTACTCCCTGTTCAATTTTAGTTTCTCTTCTGGGAATTCACATAATCACCTTTTGAGGGTTATCTGCCATGCTAGCTTTGCATAGTGAATTTGTTCTCCTTTCCTGTTGTTGAAAAACTTTTCTGGTGCTGCACAGCTGTCAGCATGATGTAGCCACAAAGATATTTTTTGGTTTTATTTTTGATGGGAGCAATGACAGTCATTTACAAAGCTTCTTTTGTTGTTCCCTAGAGTCATTCACCACTGAAAAAGACTCCTCTGCTGGGGGGGCAGCAAAGCAGCGTGTTGCACTTCACTGCCAGGGGAACACCCAAACAGAAAGAAGGCGTTGAGAACTTTCTGTAACGTACAATCTCACAAAGCAGGCAAATACCCAACTCCTTGTTTCATGCAAACTCAATATGAAAATTAACGGAGCCATTTTTTTTGTACTGGGATTTGAAGCTAGCCCATCAACTTTGATGTTGTTGCTTACGCCAGCCTGCTGCAGAAGTACAGGCTGCCAAGGAAATGGGGAAATGCCTACACTTGCTTGATTGTGCAATTACTGTAGGCTTAGCTGTACTCTTTGCTGATAGAGAGCTTTCTGCCTGCAGTTCCTGGAGGACAACTGTAGGATCATTGTTCATAAGCAGGGAGGGAGCTGTAGATGTGTGTATTCATAGAATCATTTTGGTTGGAAAAGACCTTTAAGATCATTGGGTCCAGCCATTACCCTAACACTACCAAGCCTACCACTAAACCACGTCTCTAAGCGCCACATCTATACATCTTTTGAACACCTCCAGGGATGGTGACTCCACCACTTCCCTGGGCAGCCTGTTCCAATGTCTAACTACTCTTTTAGTAAATAAATTTTTTCTAATATCCGATCTAAATCTCCCCTGGCAGAGCTTGAGGCCATTACCTCTTGTCCTGTATATTGACTATATATATACACATATATATACTGTATATATATGTACATATACGTTAAAAAGAGAGCTTTAAATCTGTTCTCTATAAGAGCTACAGCTAGTGGGATGAGAGGGAAGATCCCTTTCTGTTTATTCATGTGCTTGGTGTCTCTCACTGCCAGTCATGGTGTTTGGTTTACTTTAGTAAAGAACAGAATTCTGTATGCTACATCTCATCTATAGTCAGAGCTGGTGGTTATGACCTGCAACTCAACCTAGTTTGGATTAAACCAGTAAGGCAGGGGTTTTCAATTACTCAGTTTTGCATGGAAGTTAATTCAGTAACGTTTCGTTTCTTGATTGTTGGTTTGGTTTTGTTTTTTAAAGACAGAGATCGTTAAGACTACTGCAGAAAAATACCTTTATTTGCCTTGTTTCATAATCTCAGTGTAATGGTCAGGTTGTGTGACCAGGAGCGGAAGGGGTCTTCGTGGAGCATAGGAACAGCTTATTTCCCTGTGAGACACCAGTCTTTCACTTTGACTGATGTTCCCGTTATAGCTCTGCTCTAAGTACTCATCTGTAATCTTTGCTCGGAAGGATCAGTTCTCGTCCTTTGGCTACTATTTCCTGCAGTTGAGTCACTTTAGCTGGTGTTTTCTGCCTGTGGGGAGCCACAAAGTCATATGTCTCATGGAAGGAGCAGAGATAACAGCAAGCACCCATCTGTTCTTCTTTTCCATCCCTTGGGGATGTCCGGGTGTCCCTGGTTAGAATTCTTCTCCAGATAAGATAGTGGAGGTGTCACTGTGGGGCAGTCAGGCCAGAAAACAATAGCGAGTTGAGTCCAAAAAACCAAGATTGATCAGTAAGCACATCTCTGTTGTTAATAAGGGGTAGAGCTGCTCTATGGAGGTCAAGGCTGGGGCTGTACCCCACATCCCTTCAGCTTCTTCCTCTGATAAACTTCCAGGAGAGCTATCACACTTGCTCTTCAGAAAGCTTGGGGTCAGAAGCTTCAGC